GATAGAAGGTTTTGTTTGGTGTCATGGCCCATAAACTGAAAAAATGAAACAAAAACACAATGAACCTGTGGGAAAGAGCTTCAAACTAATGACTGTGGCAATAAAAAAGGATTTCACAAATCTTTTGTCAATGAATGTTACCCACTCAGGAAGCAGCGCAAGGTAATTTTTCAACAAAAAGACATAAAAGAGATAAGTCAAAGGAAAGTCTTGACATTTTCTGGAAAACACAGCCATATTCCAAGCTGCGTTATAAGTAAGTTTCAGGAAAGAATGAAAAATGCAAGCTAACAAAAACCATTGAAAAGTTATGCTAACATAAATTATAATAACTTATTTTAATCAAAACATAAGACAAAAATAAATATGGTTTTTAAAAATGGGTTTTATTTTCATGGGTTGTGATGTCTGGACAACAAGGTGACCTGTTTAATGTTTTTTAATGCTGTTTAATTCCGCTTATCTAACATCACAATGCAAACATTTCTGACAGCATCATGAGCAAGTTGTTCATAACATTAGCAAACATGTTACGTCATCATGTTGCTAGTTCATGATGACATAAAGATTAACGAGATCTAATCCCAGGTGTTAAGACACAAGTTGTAGCATGCTGAATGTTGCTGAAGAAAAATTGTAAGTAGGGAAACAAAATTAGGTTGATAAAAAGTGTTTCTCAAGCTGTGACATCTCTTGATCTATTTTATGTCATGTCTCTACAGTATTTTGTGTTCAATATACAAACCCATGTATCCCAAACAAGTTGTTTGCATTTTCCAAGAAATGCATTTTAAAAACTGAGCAACATTTTTTACAAGATATGGCACATTACAGTGAACGACCAAATACAAGACAGCTTAAAATATAATCTTTTACTGTAGTTCTACCTCACAATTGATATGCTAGAAAAATGCACATCTTAACTGGATATAAGTTGCGTAGTGGTAAATACATCAAGAAATAATTGTTTTAATATATTCCCAAACAATTCCTTTAAAGTAAAAAAAATATCTGTGCTTAGACTACTTATTTTTAACTGACAATTCATTTAACTGAGTCATTGTTCAAGATGAGAAAGAGAAGAGAACATGTTTTTCAAGTGAGCCAAAAACATATTCATCCTCAAGAGCTTTGGCTATGAGAAAACAATTACCAGCCTAACCCTTTCCATGGCTACAACTAGAGACATAATTAACATCCTTGAAACATCTGAAGCTGTGACAAACAAGAGTGCAATATTTATTGTTTCATCACACAAAGAGGAGGATGGTAAGAGAAGTAAATAATAATAGTGACACCTTGTGACACCTTATGATCATCAAGTTTCCACAATAACATTTAGACCCAATGTGATTGTGAGGGAGGTGTCACAGAAAAACAAATTCTGACTCATATTCATTGCCTTAAACCCAAACACTTGAGTTGGATTAATTTTATGGCATCCACCCATCTATCCATCCACCTATGCACTTTACAGAGGAGATGGTGGCTTTCTCCAAGGATCACTGGAGAGACCCCAAGGCAAGATTCAAAGCCAGGAACATCTTGCTGCAAGCAAACCCTTCTCTCAATGGCACCTCCCTGCAAACATGAACCAAAAGATGAATGTAGAAAAGTACATTTGAATTACAATCTTATAGAAAATTGAAAACAGGTCATGGCTCAGTCTTTTAGAATAACGATGGTTCATATCATATAATAAGATAGAAATGGTTCACCTGAAAAAAAAACTTCTACCATGCTGCAGTTCTCACGCTGTGAGAACTGCACACAGAACTGTGAGAACAGTGTTGTGTTTGTCATTTCATCACATATCAGATTGTAGATTGTTTGGATCTGATCATGCTGGCCATATCTTACAGAAAATGTCTGGGTGAGCTAAATAAAAGAGCTACTAAGACAGGAGCCCAGAATTCTGGAAAGCTAAAGAGAACAGACAAAGAAGAATGGTCAAAGATCCCTCTCTCTGTATAAGTGCACCAATCTTAGTAGATGTTATAGTAGAAGTTTTGTTCGATTCATAACAAAGGGTTGTAGAAAATACTGAAAGCATGAATAACTATAGGTTTGGCACTGGTGATTTGGTAAAGCAATTAATTCTAATGCAACTTAGAAAATAAAATGGTGAAGAATGGCTGACCTGTGACTTCCTATAAAGTGCCATTGTGCTTTCAGCATATAGACACCCTTCCTCTAGTAATGAAGCAGCCTTTATGAAAGCAAGAGTGGGGTGGGTTCCCAGTTGACCTCGCAGTATAGAGTGCTGAAACTGGAAAGCAGAAAGACTTCATCAGAAACTGTATCACATTTTCTTTAAAACACATCCAGGGTGACCTATAACCTCTGCACTGACCAACCTATGATCAAAGGTCAGGGTTCAAACTTGGTGCACATTAACATGCAGATGGAGGGAGTGTTAAAAATGCATCATATTTTTGAGAAACATTAAACCATTTGTGCTGACATGCACATCCTGAGGACTTGACATTTTTGTTCAAATGTTTGTGTCCATGATAAATAAAGTCTGCTGTGTATAGAAGATAAAACATGAGATCGACTGATGGAACTGCTCAGAGTCTGTCCCACCTCACCTAATGACTATTGGAGATTGGCACCAGCTTTCTACAACCCTGAGATAAGTAGACAACCATCCATCCATTTTCTGTATATGCAGAATGCAGAGCGATTGTGCCATGGGCTGGAAAACCTATTCAAAGTTGTTGGAAATATGTTGACACCCTGCCGAGTAGATAGTTCTCAGAAAAAGTGGGTGGAAAACCAAATATTAGTTCAGTGAGTCACAACAGAGTTAAGTCTCCAAGTATTTTGGAGCTTGCAAAGTAGATGCAGACTTTACAGGAATATTTTGTTGTTTTGGAGGGTAAAGGTGTTGCAGTCAAAAAATTTTTGTTTTCACTTTTATCTATTGATGCTTTAATTTGGAGCAGAATGTGCACTGTTCATTGCTTTTGCATGAATGGAAATTAAAGCACGGAAGTACTTGAGCTTCTGTGAGTCATGTAATCTGATTTTGGGTGAACAGTGTGTACAAGATTGGGTTGCATTTTCTGTGACACACATGTTATTATCAAGTTGTTCTGCTGGAAATGACAAAGAACATACCTGCATGGATTAAATGCTGTCAGCATTCGTTGGGCGAGCTTACTTTAGTTTCACTAAAAACAATGCAATCTTGTTGGAGTTGAGCCAACAAATGTTTTCTAACTATTGTCACAAACAGTTCCTTCCTCTATCAGCTGTTCCAGCAAAAAAAAAAAATATATTACTCAATAAAACATAAGATCAGTCAACATGGGGTAAAATGTTCCTGTCACCAGGTTTTTATGTGTCAGTCCAGTCTGAATGGAGTATTGCCTGCCCTTGCTCTAACATCTAACCTAATAGAGATGAGTTCAAGGGAACTAAGCCTGAGTGACAGGTTTAATTGAGAAGCTAAAATGTGACCTTGTTTCTCCACTTCTGAAACAACTCCTTATTTTCCATCTGAGCATTTGACACAAGTTTAGTTGCGTCAAATTCATAGCCAACTGTGAAAACCTTTATCTGCACCCCAACCTCCCAGATAAGCCTCTGTGCAGTCTTCTGTACTACAGCATGTCATGTTCTTCAGGATATTCCTCTTAGTTTACCAAGAATTTTCCCTCAGACTGTTAAAAAGGCCCAAGGTCCTACAATACTTTCCACTGGCCTTGAACGTGGTAAGTTTTACATCAATACAAGTACAAATTTCATCGTATTTTATTGGGATTTTGTGGAGTTTATCAAAATAAAATAGTTCATAATAGAGAAAAGGGAGAAAAATGGCATACAGTGAAGGCCTCAAAGGTTTGTAAATTCAATACAATTTTTACACGATCTTCACTAAAGGCTTCCAGGGAAGTCCCACAAAACTAGTTTTCTTAATCAGGTTGATTAATAAGGTGCAGTTTCACTGCCGCAATTATTGTGCACCCACAATAATTGGCAGTAGCCACCACTGAAGTGAGCAAATTTGTCACCAGGACTATCAATCGCATTTTTTGGACAGTTGAACTACTTTACAACATTCCTCTGCATTCCTTCTAGTATGAAAGCGAGGTAAGAAAGCAATTGTTTAAAGAAAGTTTTGAGTCCTGTTTGCAGGACTCACATGAGTCTGTCCCATGCGCCTTAAAAAAACACTTGCATTTATTATTACATCTAGATTTTACAAAAACATTTGTAGATTTATAATCATTTACAGTCAAAGTTATTAAGAGCCATTGTAGAAACCCCAAGGAGCCACAGGTTGCAGTCCTCTAAACCAGAGCTATAATGGTTTAGATCAAACTACATGTTTGATTGACTCAGTCAGAGACCAAATCTAAATGTAGTTTATATGTGGAAAGAGTTCAAAACTTATGTTCACAAACTTAAATTTATACTTCGTTGTATACATAAAACTATGTGTCCTTCTCATTCCACTTGACAGTAATCAATTACTTTGCATTGGTCAATCGCATAAAACCCACATAAATACATTGAAGTGTGTGGTTGTAAAGTGACAAATCAAGAAAAAATGAAAAGGATATCAATGCTTTGCAATCATTTTTGCACTTGACACATCACCGGTTAAAATTTTTTCTTTCTATAGCCCTTCAAGTGCACATCATGCAACCTTTAATTCCTTTCAGTCTCAAAGAATCTAATCTGGACTAGTTTAACTTCCTTTTAACTCACTGATATACTTTAAGAGTCCATCGAACACAATAAAAAAAAAAAAAACACAATTGTAACTTTAAAAACTCTTTTCCTTGTCCACAGACTCACTACAAGAGAAAGACAGAATAGCATGTTGCAGTCTATGCTTTTAATTATGAAAGAAAAGGCTGGAAACAATGACCTTCATTCAAAATGCAACATTTTATTCAAATATTCTTAAAATGAAATTTTTAAAAGTGCTTAAACACAAATTTAAAAGAAGTAATTATTTTAGTTTTTTAAGGAAAACAAGTGTTCACTGCAGACCCTCCATATTGTAGTCAAAGTCTTTCTTATTACCAACAAAAAGATACATTTTTTTACATGAAATCGTACAGTTTTTTTTTATAGCACCAAACACCTTAAATAATCAAAAAGTCATATAATAAGTTCTGTGTGCCTTCATTAAAGGTCACTGTTAGAGAGCTTTTTGAGCTGAGAGTGTGATCTCTCCATGTGGGAAGATCTTTAAAAGAGCTGCCTCAATGGAGAAAAGGTGTTCATCCTCCACCTCCGGACAGCACAGCCTCATAAACTCTACCAGCCGGAGCAAATATTCAATATTGTGGCCAGTTTTTCCACTGGAAATTGAAATTTGGGCAGCAATCTCCACATCTGAGGCTGGACCAAGGTAGATGGGGTTGTCCGATGTGGCGATGTAGACCAGAGCCAGCAGGGGAGTGTGGCTCTTCTCTTTAGGAACAAACTCCACAATTTCTGTTATGTATCCTCCCAGCATAACCTCCCTGACATTGAGGTACTGAAGGGACTCCTCCATATGGGACTGTGGCACTTCGTAGGCAACGCCCCATGTGCAGGCCTGCGCTCAAAAACACAGTGTCAGCAACAGTGCTACCTAAAACAAACACGCTATGCTATGATCAGACCTGATAGATGACAAAAACCATATTTACTATTCTGTCACGATAGAAGCAGTAAATAAAAATAAAAGACAGTAGAAAGAAAAATTTCAAATTTGTATTTCTTTTTCTGGGAAGTTAAGTAATCGACCAACTCAAAAAAGTATACAATTATGAAGTAGAAGGAAAAATGACGCAGAACACAAAAGCTGAGAAGTTTGACTCGTATGTGCACTTTATCCCTCTTTACTCTGTTATCTTTAAATAAAATCCAGTGCAACCACTACCTTCAGAAATAACCTAATGAGTACACAGACCAAAGAACATATAAGCCAGGTCAGCAACAAAGATGTGGTTGCTTTCAGTTATGAGACTAAGCTTGCTTCAACTTTTTAATCCATGGCTATTCCACCTAAAACTGTCATCAGCAACTTATGCTGTATAAATCCACTTAAACCTTGGATGAAATAAACAAACAAACAAAAAAATGCTTGGAAACTATGTTTCAGAACTGTAAGTTAAGTAAAAATGTTTTCCTGGGATGCTCAAATTACAATAAAGTTCTTTTTTATTTCTCTCTTTCGTTGTTTCTTTCATTTTTAGGCTTTAAAGCAAAGTAAAAAGTAAAACCTACTGGGTTTCAGTCCAATTCAAAGAATATTTGTTGTGGCTACATGTGATTCAGTTTTTAAGATAATTTCTTCCTTTTAGAGTCTCAGTTATGTATCTTCGTTCATCTCCGACATGTTTCGATGTTGTACTTCCATCTCCCTCAGAAGTGCTGCTTCAGTACAACAGCTGTGTGGCACAACAACATACTCTAAACACTTGGTTCTCTTCCGACATATTTGACATGTTTTGATGTATTTTCTTCTTTGTCAGAAGCTGTGTGATGACAGATATGTGGCGTTTCATCTGTAATCTGGGGGGGAAAAAAACAATATTCTCCTAAAGAAGAAAATTATTCCCTTTCTAGATGTGAAAAGCTGGTAGAAACATCAGATTTGCAGCTTTAACTGTGGTTCAGCAAAGTTCAGAGAAAAGAAAGAAAATGAAAACCAGGTAAAATCTTCCTTTGACTTCACAATTATACAGAAATTTGTGTTGGCCTATCACATAAAACCACATCAAAATAAAATTAGTTTTTTTTGCTGAAATGGAAAACAGTTACATTTTCCGGGGAATTGTAAGGCATATTTTGTACAGATTAGAAAACATAAATGTACTTACCTTCTCATCTTCTACTAGTGTGGCAACTCTGCCTGGCTGAAAGGCAAAGATACAGATAATTATTACGTTTTCTATAACACAACATAATACAAATACATTTCAGTCAATGAACTGTAGTCACCAAAAAGAGAACGTTCACGGCCTCAGAACTCACATTTTCTTTATCCCCTCGATGGAAATCATCCCCATGCCAGAACCGTCTCTTGTATCCCTTAATGTAACCGACTTTCCGTCTTTTATAAGCAAAATCCGGCTTCCAAACTAAAGACCCGTAGCCAAAGATCCAGAGGCTGTTTTTTTCATGTGCCATGTCTAGAGGTTTCATTCTGGTCTCTGTTCTATCAACACCTTCTGTCCACAGGCAGCTTCCTCTCTCTGATCCGTCTTATTTTCCTCTGTCCATCCTGTCTGCTACACTTCACTGCTCCTGTTAGATAAGAGTTGATTCTTCATGTCATCAGCATTCTGAAAGAGCTGGCTGTATTCTTTGCTCTGGCTGTCCTCTGATTTAAACTTGTAGATACTGTCCGTTCCTCCACTGAGCTCAGGAGAAAAGTAACACGTGGATTTGTTGTTCGGTGACCGCAGGCGGCACAGGCTCAGCCAATAAAAATCCAGAGTGGGCGGGGTTTACATAATGTAAGCCTATCAAGATCGAGCAGTGACGCAGTCGAAGTTCCCGAGGTTGGAAATTGAGAAGGAAAAGCAAACACGAAGTTTCATTTTAAACACGTATGTTTCAACTTTTCTTTGGATATAATCTGACCTTTAGATATTTTCTGCCATCCTGACAATGTTTTCACTTTTACATCTGCATTTACACGATGCGGAAAAATATTTATGATTTATGGCCATTTGTTAACCATCCGATCACCTATCGCATCCTAAAACTGTCAAACAGTGAATCCAAGCGACTAATCACATTACCTATAAATAGCTGGGACTGATATATTGGTGCTCTGTAAAGCTCATTAGGCGTCTGCATCAATCCGTCTAACCTCATTGTGCTCATGTAGGCTGCTGCATGTCACTTTTCCCCTCTGCCTGTCACTGCATGGCATCTCAAGAGCTGAAATGAAAGACAACACAAATCCTGCCCCCAAGTGCAACGCTCCACGAGAAAGTGCTGGATATTTCAAATAAATGTAAGTTCAACATTTTTTTTTTTAAATTTGGTAAATGAACGTAACATTTATAGTGCTCATCTCCTATTATTGATCAGCCAAAGCACTGTTGAGCCATAATCACACAGTTGTAGAAAGAGTCGTTGATTCTTTCTAAGAACTTCTAAACAGTAATCAAAGGCTTTCTGTTTTCATTTCTTGAAGCTACAGTTTAGTATTTTGTGCAGGAAATCATAATTATTGTGTGATGAGTGTAGAGGACAGAAAATTAGGTTACAAATAAAAGTCTGCAAATGCTTCTGTCAGCAATAGGTGGGATTTTTGAGTAAAGAAGACAAGAATTTGACTCTATATAGGTTCCATCTAATTATTTGGGAGTGATGTCAAGAAAAAACGTTGTCCTACCATCACAAATGTAAACACATGGAGTTTGCTGAACTCCATGTAGACTTTAACTGGAACTGTGTGTTTTTATCAGGTGAGACAAGAAACACCAGTGGGATTGGCATTAAATAAAAGGTGAATGTGTGGGAAGACAGCTGTTAAGCATAGCAGATGTTTTTTTTTAGAGTGTGAGACAAGAATTCTTCGATTCAATTTTGATTAAAAGTTTGGATACAATCTGGATGTCTCATATAGAAAATTGGATGTGGATCATTTTGATGTCAGATTAATGATTATAATATAAAAGAAGACATGGTTTACCAACACAATTTTGTCTGTGGAACTTATGTTGTCTTTCACCAAAAAAGATGTAAAAAAAAAAAAAATATATATATATATATATATATATATATATATATAATATATATATATATATATATATATATATATATATATATATAAAATTCCCTTCTCATCCACCGCGGGTGGTTCTTATCCCCTGAGCTCGGGTCCTCTACCAGAGGCCTGGGAGCTTGAGGGTTCTGCGCAGTATCTTGGCTGTGCCAAGGACTGCACATTTCTGGACTGAGATGTCTGATGTTGTTCCTGGGATCTGTTGTAGCCACTGCTCCAGTTTGTGGGTTACTGCCCCGAGGGCCCCGATGACCACAGGCACCACTGTGGTCTTCACCTTCCAGGCCCTCTCCAGTTCTTCCCGAGGCCCTGGTATTTCTCCAGTTTCTCGTGCTCCTTTTTCCTGATGTTGCAATCACTTGGTATTGCTACATCTACCACAACGGCTTTCCTCTGATGTTTATCCACTACGACAATGTCTGGTTTGTTCGCCATTACCATTTTGTCTGTCTGGATCTGGAAGTCCCACAAGATCTTAGCTCTGGCGTTCTCCACCACCTTTGGGGGTGTTTCCCACTTTGATCTCGGGGTTTCCAGTCCATATTCTGCACAGATGTTTCTGTACACTATGCCTGCCACTTGGTTATGTCGCTCCATGTACGCTTTCCCTGCCAGTATCTTGCACCCTGCTGTGATGTGCTGGACTGTCTCAGGGGCCTCCTTGCACAACCTACACCTTGGGTCTTGTCTGGTGTGGTAGATCTGGGCCTCTATTGCTCTGGTGTTTAGGGCCTGTTCCTGGGCGGCCAGGATGAGGGCCTCTGTGCTGTCCTTGAGTCCAGCTTTTTCCAGCCATTGGTAGGATTTACTGATATCAGCCACTTGGGTTATTTGCTGGTGGTACATCCCATGTAGGGGCTTGTCCTCCCATGATGGTATCTCTGGCACCTCAACCTCCGTTCCCTGTTGTCTGAGACATTCACTGAGCACATTGTCTGTTGAGGCTTTGTCCCTGATGTATTTATGGATCTTAGTTGTTTCGTCCTGGACAGTGGTTCTCACACTCACTAGTCCTCTGCCTCCTTCCTTGCGGCTCGTGTACAGTCTCAGGGTGCTGGATTTGGGATGGAACCCTCCATGCATGGTTAGTAGCTTTCTAGTCTTAATATCTGTGGCTTTTATCTCCTCCTTTGGCCAGCTAATTATTCCAGCAGGGTATCTGATTACTGGCAGGGCATAGCTGTTTATCGCACTGATTTTGTTCTTGCCATTGAGCTGGCTTCTCAGGACTTGCCTTATTCGTTGGAGGTTGGAGGTATGGCTCCTTTCCTTGTGGCCTCATCAAGGTTGCCATTTGCTTGTGGTATACCTAGGTACTTGTAACTGTCCTCTATGTCTGCTATTGTAATTCCTTGTGGGAGTGAGACTCCCATATATATATATATATATATATATATATTATATATATATATATATTATATATATATATATATATATATATTATATATATATATTATAATATATATATATATATATATTTGGCCATTATTGTTAAACTTAATGTTGATGTGTTTATTACAGGTGTGTCTATGGGACAGTTATGTATCGGTTCAACACAGGACGCATATTTAACGGCCAAATATGGGACGACTCCCTATTTCACGGGATGGGCGGCGATCCTATTCAGGGTTGCTGAGATACAGTTTTAATGGCGCTGGAGCGGAAAACCACAAACGCAAAAGTTCAATCTCATAGAAATCTACTGTTAATCTCTTCATGTTAAATAAATAAAGTATGACTTATTATTTAAGTATTTAGTCGTTATTTCAGCTTGACTCATGCAGAACTGATCTGATCGTTCCATAACAACGATCAGAAGCGAGACCTTGCCTCAGACCTCCAGTGACCTCACTGATGAGGTCATAAAAGACATCATGTACATCACAAAAGATCAAAGAAGTTCTAAAGCTTGCATGTCTTGCACGCCAAAATTGAGCCCATAAAGTTCTGTCAGTCGAATCAGCAGCAACAAAAATGTCGAAGTGCTCCAAGAAAATCCATTTTCCGTGCCTTGAGCCACAAATCTCACTTGACTCCAGTGATGAAGACTTGACTAAAGTACGCGAGGATGACCTGAGTGAATCTGACTCAGAACTGGAGCAGGAAGCCCAGATAATTCCTGTGACAGCGGGGGAAATCAAAGAGATGCAGAGACGGCTGCAAGATTCCTTCGAAGAACAAGAGCTGCTAAGGAAGAAGGTCGAAAAAAATGAGAATTATATTAAATTACTTCAACGGGAAACTGAGGAAGGAACACCACAGAGATCCAAGAAAGATTGAAGATAGTCACCTGAGTCATCTCACATTCCACCACCTCCGAAGGACAATGACACTGTGTGGAAACACTTATTGGAAAAGGTTGTCCCATCAGTTTGAAGATTACTTTGGAGATCTACTCGTCCAGCCAGAGGACCCAATTGCAAAGAAAGAGGACAAACTGAGACCTAAGAAGTTAGAAGAGAACAAACGGGCGGAACGAGATGCCATTCCTCTCCAAAATCTTTGCAAAACCTGGATGCCCTGTCCAACTGGAACTCTCGACACCTGTCTCTATTTTGGTTTGTCACATACCTCTACACAGCGTGGCATGGCTGGACCATCCCCATGTTGCTGCTGCTATTAATTCTCCGCCTTTCTTTGAATTATTTAATTACAAAAGGCTGGAATATTAACTGGAGCATCGTCCCGGAGCTGACTGAGCCGCTGGGACTACCAAAGGCACACCCGTCATGGAGAGAGAAGCTCCATCAGGTTCACGATGTTCTTCATCAAACCCAGAACCTGTTTGGACTGATAGCCGACTCCCTCGAGAAGGGAAAAAATCTGTTGATGTGGGTCAAGCCAGACACGACCATGAAGTTCTACATTTTACTGTGGGTGTTCTTCTTCTTTTCGTGCTTTTTACCATATCAGATGATGGGATCAATCTTAGTTTTTCTGCCGGCCTAAAGTTCTTCATTGTTGACTCCATCTTTAACACTTACCCCAACCTAAGGAAGCGCTATGACACCTTCGCAGTTTTCTGGGAAAGGTTACCCGTCGACTCACAGCTGCAAGATCACAAAGACGACAAGCGCCACAGCCTGTTTGCTGTAACAAGGGCTCGACTGAGCAGCTTCACCGCTGCTCATTTCAGAAACGTTGGCAGCCCGTTCCATTCCTGAAAAAGAAAAAAACCATTTCATGAAATGTTTAACATCCCAGAGACAGAGCAACCCTGCCTGAGTTTAAGACCGGCTGGCATTGCTATATGGTGAATAGAGACAGGAATATAACATCAAAAGAATTCGGCGGTTATGGAGTTCTCTATGTCACAGAGAATTATTTGTGTTTTAAGAACTCCATAACTAAGTTCCACACAGCTGTAAAATTGAAGGACATCACAGACTTCAAGAGGTATAAACTTATACCAGGACTGCCCGGCTCAGGTAGGGGGATGTCAATTGCAACGGCAACCACCAAAAAGCCACTCTTGTTTACTGCAATGATACACAGCAAACGGGCGTATCAAGCCATCTCCTCCAGATGAGAAAGGTGTTTGAACAGGCAGCTCTGCAGTGTGCAATATAGAGTGACTTGCACTCTAGTGCTGCAGCTACTTGGGAGGAGCACCAGGAGGCGACGACTCGGGAGGAGCACCAGGAG